TTTAACGTAGATTGTAGCGCGACGACTGTATCGGTACTGTTGCCGGTTGTCGAAGTCGTACCTATCTCGAACCGCTGGGACGGACGGCGGACTGAGCGGTCGTTTGAGCGTCCGGGCCCCCCTCCGTGTTGTTAGTATAAGGTTTTGTTTGTGTTTTTTGCAGGGCGTTATGCCATATTTTTTACTTGTATCCCCTCTTCACGTTTGTTGAAATTGTTTTTGTGTTAGTGTATTTTAATTGCCTTCCCGTTGTTTCTCTGTAGACAGAACTTCGGTGTTGTCGAATTTGATGTTGTGATTGACATTAGTAAACACGTGTTCTGCCACCGCCGATTTTTCTATTTGTCCTAAGCGACAGGATCTTTTGTGTTCAGTCAAGCGCGTAGATATGGTGCGTTTTGTTGTTCCAATATACACGTGTCCGCATCAACATGGGATTCTGTATACCCCGGCCGAAGACAGCGGTTTTCGGGGATCTTGGGAAGATCTTAGGTATTGTTGTATTTGTCCTGTGGATTTAAAAATTGGCTTTATGTTATGTCTCGCCATTATTTTGCCGATCCCGTCCGTTACTCCGATATATGGGAGGAAAACCAAACCGTCCGGAGGCGTTTCTTTGTTAGGCTCCCGTCTATTTTGTTTCTTCGGCCTTATGGCCCGTTGTATTTCGTTGGTTTTGTAGCTTTTTGCCTGAAGCGATATTGTGGATCGGATATTCTCGTTGCCCTGTCGTCTAGTGTTTTAATAACTCCTCTCTTTTGTTTTGGATGGAAACACTAGTCGACAGGGCAACTAGAATATTCGATCCACAATATCTGTCAGAGGAATTAGGACATTTAGAGAGAGCGCTTCAAGCAAATGGCTACAAAACCAACGAAATACAACTGGCCATAAGACCGAAGAAACAAAATTGACGGGAGCCTAACAAAGAAAAGCCTCCGGACAGTTTGGTTTTCCTCCCATATATCGGAGGGGTAACGGACCGGATCGGCAAAATAATGGCGAGACACAACATAAAGCTAATTTTTAAACCCATAGGACAAATACAACAATACTTAAGATTGGCCAAAGATCCCCAAAAACCGCTGTCTTCGGACGGGGTATACAGAATCTAATGTTCATGCGGACACGTGTATATTGGAACAACAAAACGCACCATATCTACGCGCCTGACTGAACACAAAAGATCCTGTCGCTTGGGACAAATAGAAAACTCGGCGGTGGCAGAACACGTGTTTACTAATGGCAATCGCAACATCAAATTCGACAACACCGAAGTTCTGTCTACAGAGAAACAACGGGAAGGCAATTAAAATACACTAACACAAAAACAATTTCAACAAACGTGAAGAGGGGATACAAGTAAAAAATATGGCATAACGCACTGCAAAAAACACAAACAAAACCTTATACTAACAACATGGAGGGGGACCCGGACGCTCAAACGACCGTTCAGTCCGCCATCCGTCCGAGCGGTTCGAAACAGGTACGATTTCGACAACCGGCAACAGTACCGATACCGATCTACGTTTCACTGAAGATGGCTGCCGCAGTAGCAGCTGAAAGCTTTGGTAGCAAAACTAATGGACCACAGCCTAACTACCCGAAAAATCTCACAGATTATGACGCCGGCCGTGAAAACCTACGCAATTATATTCCATTGGAAACAAACGGTTGGAAACATTACACTTTATTGAAGGCACAGTAAAGGCAGTCAAATATCATCAAAAGTTTTATCATATCCGACATAAAATAAAACAACGCCCACGAAATGATTACCAGCGTATTTTATCACAACTACGTGTTAAACTTCATTAAATATAGGATAGTCTCACAGCTGGAGTGCGGAAAGGCCTAATTGGTACCTAATGGGGCTAATAAGACTTCAGGCTGTTATTCGAGATAAGCTAATTTTTATTGTAATTTGTTAAAAAGCACTGGCATTTTATTGTTAGGGTTCGTCTGCCGGTTGAAACATTTTTTATATGCATATGACCCTAGTTTTTAACTAAAACCAAGAACAAGATTCGAAATGAAAATAGTGGAACATATTGTAAAGAAAACCAGCGTGCCTTTTTTTAACCCTTCTGTCGTGGGTTATTTTATATGTTATATATAAACACGTTCTACAAGAATCTCGTCCCCCGAGGGAAAATAATAAATAGTTCTGCATTCTTATAATATCCGGCCAAGAGGTTTAATCCGTTAATTCATTTATCGGGACTCGGTTTGAGGTAAAACTTTTTAATTCCCCGCGGAGCTCTAGCGGAAGGGTTAAAGAGCGTCATTTAATTTTCCCGCTACTTATGCTAAATTTATTTTCTGACGAAACCGAGAGTACGAGATGAATTTGTCTTTTACTTAGAAGGCTAACGGGGAGCCACCTAAATTTGAGGTCGAGGTCGTTATATTCGTTTCTTGGTAAATAAAAACACAAAATATTACCCATATCAATTACTCATTTATTCATTAACTTTATTTATCAACAAGCAAGAATGAAAATACAACATCAGTTTATATTTTCCCCAATTCTAGATTTCCTTTTACTCTAAAGCGTACAGCAATGAATTTTTACTTTTACGTTATTATGAAAATGTCTTAATAAAGTTTATAACAACTCAAAAATTATTTGCCACAAAAAATTTATCATTTAATTATCATTTAATTTTATATCTTACCCTACCTAAAGCCGAAACGTGCTTGTTTTAGCATTTTAAAATGTTTTTTTTTTGCAATTAAAGTACGTCTTCGAATTTCAGAAATAGTGCTGGAAATGGGTTCTTACATTATCACACTAAACATCATATAATGTAAAAGTATCCGGAAAAGGAATTTTCGTAAAAGCCCTTTTCAGCAACTCCAGAAAATATATATATATATATATATATATATATATATATATATATATATATATATATATATATATATATATATATATATATATATATATATATATATATATATATATATATATATATATATATATATATATATATATATATATATATATATATATATATATATATATATATATATATATATATCAAAAATATATCAAAAAATACTGGTCAATATTTTATAAATGCCTGTATTGACATTATTTTTGATGCAATATTAACGAAATTTGGTACACGTGGTTCTGAAGAAATTCTCCAACTTATATTCCTAGCGGATTTGTTGGTGGTCTCCACCGACAGTAGGAGCGTGAAAACACTTAATAAAATTAACTAAAGTTTTAAAGAGATGTAAAGCCATTCAGAGCAAAAGGGAGGAGGTCTCGCAAAATTACTTCATTGACAATGCGATGCAGATCATGACTTGTGGAGTTTCAATTAAAAGTAAAGATGGTAAAAGATAAAGTGACAGATGTTATCTGTCAAATTCACATTTTTGACATGTTTTCATAATTTTACAAATATAATGGGCACATGGGTATAGATTGTAAAAATGTTAATTGCAAATTGTATGGTTCACCGTGCGGACGATTTTGTGCGGTGTAAAAAATATGTGGAATATGAAGTTAATTTTGTTCCGTTTAATAAAACTGAGCAGCTTGACATTAATGAGCCATCGAAAAAGACCCTTTTACCAAAAAAATTATGTTTGAATCTGCAGACGACTTGTGCAACGTTAAAAATATGGGAAGTATCAAGTTAATTTTGCTTAAGTTTAGTATTAAGAAAATTGTATGTTTCACCCTGTAGACAGTTTTGTGCCACATCAAGAGGCCAAAATTAACTTAATATTCTATATATTTTTTGGAGCAAGCCATAGTAGGCACAATTCGAAAAATCTAGATCCAAATACCTTCTTACTCATACCCACAAGCAATAATATATAAAATTAGCAAAACATATATAAAATTTCAATCCGTAATGCAACAAAAATAAATAGGGCATTTGCATGCAAAATAACAAATTTATGACTTGCAACCTAAAAGTGTCTGCATATTCAAATCCTCTAATTATTGAATTTTGTGGTTCCAGCTTTGGCAGTTTTGGAGATAATTTAAGCATTTCGGTATATTTTAGTAACCCGGTATGTATATTTTCATTTTTTTAGTTATCTTATTTTTACATAAAGAAAAATATTTAAAAAATCACACCAAAGCTTTATCTTATTTTTGTTCCAATAAATCCTAATGAAATGGAAATATAACCTTTTTCGAGGGTATATTATTATTATTTTTTAAACTTTAGTACAAAAAACCAAGGCTAATTAATATAAAGGTTCAAAAAAGGGTTCTATTACAATTTATTTATTCTTTTTAAAGAACATGGATTATCGTCATGATAGTGATCTAAAAGGGACTTACGAAGAAACCCCACTTCCTAAGTCCCTAATAAATGCGAAATCGATTATTTGATAGGTAATTAAAAGGATAGAAAAATATGATGACAATATATTCCAGGATATCGTTATTATATATAATATATAAATATGTTACAGTGAGAATTTAATGTTTTTTAGAATTTTTTCCACAGTTAGCATTATAAGGCACATAAAAAAAAGTCTTAGGATTATCATCAACAATGTTATAGCGGATTGTTTAGGACACTAATACGTAGTAAACATTTACTAATTCCTTGGCAATGGGACAGTTCCCTAAATAACTTAAAAAAAAAGTTTTATTGAACTTTAAACAACCAGACTGAATATGCTCAATATGCTTGCTGTCTCCTAGATTTTTGGCAATCTTCCTCGTTAACAGTATGACCTCCAAAATCAAAGAACCCATTTCTATGAATGAATTGACTTCTTGAAACGTCGTAAATTAATTTGTTAATTTTTTAGTTATACATTTTAAATATGGACTTGAATCATTGCTTTTTTATTATTGGCATTATTAAATCGTTATATTTGAAACTAATTATGAAAAAAAAAATTAAAAAAAAGTAACAAGAATAAATATGTCCATTTTTGAAAATTCTTGAAAGAAAAAATTAGAAAAAATACATTAAGTACATATGATCAATATCAGGAAAAATATTGTGACTTACCGGCACTAAAAATCTCCTAACTTCGGCTAGAGCATATGCAATGCGGGCGTGCGCTTCTGCCGGTGTGGCGAAAGCACTTATCTCCACGTGAAGTTCCTCGCTAAGGTGTTGAAATTTTGGATCGCCGCTAGCTCTCAGCTCTTCTTCCTAAAAAAGAGATACTCTGTAGCTTAACAAAAAAAAGTAATACGAATTAGGTTAACATAAACATCGCATTAAAATGCGCAAATTAGTGAAAAATGTTCTGGCGAACTGCTGACTTGATTTGGATATATAGATCTTTAGAAATGATATTATACATATTACTATTTCATTTAAATTTATGTTTTAGGTACGTATAGGGAGTTTTTAGAAAAACCAGTTTTATACTCTATCTTTGCCATTTTATGTGAGAATTCCGGTCAAGACTAATTAGATGTCCATCTAAGTGATTGTAATTTATTGTAAAAAAAATTGAAACACGACCCATCATACTTTGATCCAGACATTATATTTGTTTTTTCCGCGTCATCGAAGGGGGCAGGTGGGGGTTAGATTGAGGCCAGTCCAAGGTTTCACTGTTCACCTCTTTTAAATAATTTTAAACTATTCTTGCAGTAGTCTACCATTATAAAACTCGTCTTGTAAAAAATCTGAGATAAAGACTTAAATAAAGAAAAGGAAATGCTGAAAAAAGAAAAAAGAATTTGGCAAACATACGGTATAAAACTGGTTTCTCTTAAAACTCTCTGTATATGCCTAAAATTTAATTTTAGTGGTGGTGTAATTTCGGTAGGAAGTGTACAAATTACATACATATAATGAAATTTATTACTGCACCTTTCCAATTGCACTCATATTATTAACATCTACCCCAAGATTTTTCGGTTCGATTCTAGTTTTGAACACGCAAAGCAAAAATTTTAGTAAATGGGATAATAGGCAAAGCTTTACCCAACTTCACATTTTTTGTATAAAGAAAACAAAAAACAAACATTCATTGAAATCAATCTAAACAATCAAGGTCAATCGTGGTCCTTATCCTAACTACTATAAATAAAAATCATTCTCGTTTTCAGAGATGAATGTTTTTAGCACATTTTTTTAATTAAGGATAAGATGTTTAATTTGTGATTAGTACTATTTAGCTCTCTAAAAGATACAAGCACGATGCAAATAATTTTTAATGTATAGTAGGTAAGATTGAGGAGGTGGAGGTATCTGACAGATTTAATCTTCAGACGCTTCTGTTTGCGTATAATGTGACTGATCCTATCCTATTTTCCAATATTATAAGAATATCTGAACTAAGCATTTAGAACTTAGGTCTGGAGTCTGTCATTATGTCTTACCATTAAAATCACGCAATAAACTAAATCAGCAAAGATAGAGTTTCCCAAGCAATCCAGAGGATTATTGACAAGACCAATTGACTGGTTTTGTGAAGTATCCATCGCTAGTCCCAAGTTTTTTGCTTAAGTATTAGACCCTACACCAACGTCATTTTTTATAGTCTGCCTATTTTTGTGGTAATATGGCCACTGACTTGTTGCCATTAAGTTTTAGGTTGTGAGGTGAGGACATATCAAATTGAGAATGTAGGTCCTCGTTAATCTTTGTAGCTGCAGATGTAGCTTGAACAGAGTAAACCAGTTGTGATTCATCAGTATGTAATTATTAAGATATACATGTTTGACAACACAAGGAAAGTCAGAGATGTATGCTGAGAACAGGTGAGGTCCCAAGATTGAGCCTTGGGGTACAATATGTTTCACAGAAACGGTGCTCCATTTACTATTGTTGTAGATAACCTGTTGTAATTTTCAGTTAAAGTAACTATCCTGAAAACCAAAAAAAGGACATTTAACAAAATATTTTGGTATCAACAGTATCGAAAATTCTGCTGTAATCTAGCAGAATAAGACAGGATAGGTTCTTTGTTGCCATCAGTCTGACAAAGCAAGTCATTAGTCATTAGTAAGCATGGTGACACTTTCAAAAAAAATTACGAAAACTAGACTCTGCATCAAACATAATCTTATTCTTGGATAAGAAGTCACTCTTTTGTGTATGCATTTTTTTTTTCTAAAACCTTCGATAGAGTAGGTAAGATTGAAGTTTTTTTAATGTGTTTAAAAAAAATACCACCTCCAGTTTCAACAATTCCATTGCATCAATTTCCGATGATTTATTCTATTTCAGGTCATTTTATAGATATTTTCAAAGCGCAAAACTTGTAGGAAACAAAATAAACCGCGATTTTTCAATCTAATTGTTGGCAAGAAAATAGTTGCCTCATTTAAAAAAATAAAACATTGGATTCAATTCAAAAGTGTATGAAAATCATCGCGATTAGATTCTAATTCAGCTTACTTATTAGGAGCTTATGTGTAGGGATAATTTTCTAACTAATCTTATTATTTTTTGGGTTCTGTCCAAAGTCAAGAGAGAGATTTGCCACGTTTGCTGGACACATTGTAAAAATATTAAAAAGCCGATTTTGCGCGTATACCTAAAAATCTCAAGGCAAGCTGTTTTTCATTAACATCCCGAAGGGATGATGGTACTTTATTACAAATTAATTAAGGCCAGAGAACTTTTTCGCGAACGATATGAAATGGGGTCCCTAACGAACTTTAACGAAGGCAATTTTGGCGTACGGCTTTTAAGCTAAGCCCCCTTGTCGGGGCGGGGTCTGCGGCAGCCGCTGACCCGCCCGTTCCCCCTACCTAAAATTTAATTTTAATTTTTACACCCGCGAAATGTTTACAGAAGTGGGCATTTGCCTGTATTTTTCCTTAAAATAAGCAGGATCGTTTTTTAATGATGTCGCGTTTGCAGAGAGCGGGCCGCTTCGACTACATAAAGTGCCTATGTAAAGTCGGTAGAACTTAAAAAATAAATTCCCACCTGTTTGGTAAATATCAATATTTAAAAAAAAACATTAACATTAAACATTAAAAAAAAAAGTATAGTGTAGCCCTTGACGTTCTGAACAAAATTTTGACACAACTGTTATGGGAGAATTTTACTCAGTGTATGGTATTTTAAATGTGAAAATCATTTGTTATAAAGGGTGAACAAAAATATTTATAAAGTATGCAAAATTATCCCACTTCATTTTGGTTTGATGTTCTGTATCTTGAGAACAAACGGCCAGATTTTCACTAAACTCAGGCACTTTTTATATGCCGCTAATCATACCTTGTGCCTGTCCCTCATAGATCCTCTTCCCAAAACTGCCATTTTGCACATCGTGTCCTCCTGAAGCCTCTTCAAAGAATTTCCTTTCGGTCCCAATAATTTTCCGACGAAATTGAACTGCAACGCGAAATAAAGAAACGTATTAGTGCCAGTTATTCTGAACAAATTTGCGAATGCTGCAGATTTAAAAAATTTCTTTTAATTCCAATTTTGTAGAATATTATTTCGTAATATTAAGATGCTATTGTGTTTCCTAAAAGTGAACATTTAATATTTGCGCACTATAAGACGTCCAATAAATAGAAAACCACTATTCAGTTTTAAAATATTCCATCCTAAAAGTTTCAAAATAAATAAGAACTAAAAGTTCACATTTTCACGAAATATTTTGCCATGACAATTGTTTCTACTCGTCTTTATCTTTATGAAAATCTGAATTTTTAGTTTCTATTTAATTTGATAAAAAGTTTTCGTTAGTTTAACTATAAAACCTTTGGTGTTGGTTACTTCAGGCTTTTAAAAAAAGTTTTGAACTTTGAAACCTGGATTGCCATTCGCTTGAAAGGCAGCGTCAAACACGGTGCTGTTTCCCCAACTTCTTTCGTTGCACAATATCAAAAGGTGTGTTTGGTTTAATTTAAACTTTTTCTAGGTATTAATAAAAAACGAACACACACTACTTTCAAGAACAAATAAATTAACGACTGAAAAGTGAACATTTCAAATTTGCGCACTAATCTTTTTCATTGACTTTCTAATTACTTTTGAGAATTTATAAAACTAAAAGTAATAAAAATCAGCATAAGTTTTATTACAAGAGCAAAATTTCCCTAGATAAGTTTTATAAGAGCTTCCAAAGCTAATTTGATGAACAGTTTGACTTAAATACCTTCATAAAAAATATATCGCATTTAAGCATTATTCCCAAAACTACACCATGTACAACAGGTTTCGTTTGGTTTGGAAAGTTTTTTCGAATAAGGTGCTTTAAATTTCAAGTCAACACCATCTAACTAGTCGTCGTTACATATGTCGCATAAATCTTCGTCCAGTGACTTGGAAATTAATCATTAATACATCTACGGACGGTACGTTACTTTTGGCTCTCGTAGTATCAATTTGGTCAGAACTGCTTGAGCCAAATCTCTTGCATGATTGGAAGGAGCAAAATCACCATCATTAAACTTTCCGGATCCAAGGGACAGATTCCCGAAGTACAGAAGAGGGAGACACATTGCTCCATTCTTAAATGGCCTAAAAAAATGTCTAAAGGCCGAAGATTTACGGAGGTATGGGGTCCATAAGGTTATTATTTTCTTCACAAAAATTATAGACTCCAACACCTGAGGCGATTGTGATTATCTAGAATCAATAGGACGGGATAGGATGTAGTAGGTTTGGCGTGTTTTGTGAAATATGATAAGTATTCACAAAATAACCCAAAAATTCCACAGCCTTCTAGGACGATTTTTTGAATAGCTTTTTTGCTCGGAAAACCTTTGGACATTTGCCTTGTACGGTTGTAACACGTCTCTCGATTAAAATTATGACCTATATTATGCTAGCCTGCGGAGCCTACAATAAATTAATTTTGAAAGTTGTAAAACATACAATAACTCATTTATTTAACATTTTCTAAAAACTTTTTGTTACGGTTGAAGTATCTTCCTGTTTTCCTAATTTTTTTGCCATTATTTCTTATTGCTCTAGACTTTCGACTGTGAAAGAAAGGATAGTAGTCTTACGAATGTCATTTCTAGGCATCTGGAACAATGAATGAAATATATGATATGGAAAGAACTTGTTTAATTATCATTCATCATCATTACCCAACCCTCTCTTAACTAACGATATAAAAAAATGTGAAAAGAAAATGGGGCGTTTCTTGTTAATAAAGGTAACGACAACCTCCTTCACTTTTTCAAGACCCTTCATTTAAGGGTTATATGGTTTTATAAGACTAAAGTTAATATTAGGAAATAGTGGAGTCACTAGGATTGATGCAAAGCGGAGTGCTCTGTTCAGTAGGAAGCACAATGTCCCTGCTGAGGATTAAAGGCTGTAATATAGGCTAATCTCCCTAGAACAATATCGAGAACGATTCGCTAACAATTGATACGTTATCAGGTTTTATAAAGTAGATACTCGAAACTTCACCATTATAAAACAAAAAATGTTAGATAGGACGCCTGTTACCTATAAGGTAATTGGCCAAAGAGTTTAAGATAACATCTACGTAATCATTAAATAAATTGAACAGGAAATGTCCTGTAATCCGGGAAACAATAATAATGATTTACACGCCATTTAACAATTGTGAATAGTTTCTATCGATGGAATAAAATCATCAGCGAAAAGTATAGACTCTCGTCATTTCAAAGCATTATTTTTTACCATGACGACGTCGTATTTGTTTTGTGTGGGTATAATTCTGATAACTGCTTGTTTAAATGCAAAAGGCGGAAACATGTTGCTAAAATTTCAAGTAATTGTTGAGATGGTGCTGACTTGTCCCAATAATGCTCGATTGGAATCGCCCATTACGAATTTAAAGTCCATTCGATATAACAGAACGTACGGCACATGGGACTTGGATTACATCTTAAAGGAACCCATAGATGGTAATTATGAGGTAAATTCTATATTAGATAGTAATATTAAATAAGGTAAACAAATACTACTTAGAAATCTCTCGACAAATGTAATCACCAAAAAAATTAACACTTTCTTATGCTTTATACTAAACATAAATAAAAATGAAGATTGCATTGTTGTATCTAATTTAATTAAAACATTTTCGTTATTAATTTACTATGAGACTTCGCCCTTTTGAGGAGTCACCATATGTTTTTCGCCTTTGGGTAATTGCTAAAGAGGAAGAAAATACACGTTACAGCCAAATCATTCGTCAAAAAGGAATTTCATATCTTATTCTGTGGAATTATTACTCGCAAATAACATACGTTACGCACATAACGCTTCACTGATTTCGAAACAAGTTTAAATTGATTTCACAAAAGAAATATGAGTCGACTGAATGGTGAATTGGAGAGAAGTTCTCGAATTATTAAGGAAAATCTGTTTGTGTAACTATCCAAGCGTTATGTATCTAATTGTTGACATTGTATACCATAATAATCTTTTGGTTATAGGCTTATTAGGAACAGTTGCCGAAATAAAATCTAAACTAAAACGCATCAAAATTAAATTAGTTAATTTTCTCGCGCACCTCTTACTCTATTGGGATATGTATTTTTCAATTGTAGATCTTCTGAAATGATTTTTTTTAAATTTCAGTTTCAGGAATGTAGAGGGTGTTAAAAAGAAATTTCCATCAACGCTATTAGGTGTCTTTCTAAGTCAAAGCATAGCTCCATCATTTCTTAGCATTTTGTTTCTTTATTCACATCTTTATCTCGGTTATTAAATGAAATTGGGAACTTAATGTCAAACGAATACCGAACCACATGAATATTGACTACTACAATAAAGTATTTATAGGATCAAATAGTCAGGTAGCTTACACATCATCAAACCCACCTGCCGCTTGAATGATGTAGAAAACATTGTTAGTGAATTATAAACTAATATTGGTCAGCACAAATTAAACGTCTGCTTCAAAATATCAATCATTTTAATTTTTTTTTGTAATAAACTATAATTTTTACGCAAACAAACGCAGGGGAAATACGCTTTGTCTTTCTTTAATATCCTGGTCTTCCGTTTTTGCGAAGTGTGATTCTATGTATTTAGTAACCTAATAATGCCTCTATCGTGTGATTGATTTATCTGGATAGCATTTTATTTGCCTGTATTTTTTTTGTTTTTAAAGATGTCAGGGTAAATAAAAAAAAAGAAAATGTGGAATTAGCTAACTAAAACCAACAATTTTCTGAGATGTGACTATATAATTTTTTTTTAAATGGGACATACTGTATATTTTGTCGATATTCAATAGGACACGTTATTTTGACAACAATTATATGACCCACTTTATATTTTATTCCACTTGTTTTAGTTAGTTTGTAGTCTCAGTTTAGTTAGTGTGTATTTCTCGCACCTCAATCCATTCAGTTTTGAAGAAATATTACACTGCATTTAAATTTCATAAAACCTAATAAACTTAGTGAAGAACAATGCTAAATCACGATGCGGGTTTGTTTGGACTTTTTTCATAGGTATAACGAAAATAATAATATTAAAAATTATATTGCACGGACCGATGAAAGTTCGTTGACTATAAGAAAACGCTAGAAAAAATATCGGGTATATAAATAATCCAGAAAATACATTAAATAAAAAGAGTAACAGTACGCTAAAGTTTGGGGTGATGTTATAGACATACATATTTTGAATCCGCTAAACATATCTACGCAAGTAATATAGCAGCAAGATGATGTGGCTCCTCAAAATATAATCCGCACCAAATAAATTTAATTTCTTTCTATACATGGAATGGATTTCTTCTTTTGGGGACACATAAAAAATCTGGTGGGCAGAACTGAATATCATGGAACTTCTGCAAATAATTACAGCGACAATCGATAAGTTATAAATTGTGTTATAATAATTCTAATAGAATACCGATAAAAAATACAGGGAGTTCCATTTCAAAAATATGAAATTAACTGAAATCTCAGAAAATCGTTAATGTTTTCTTTTAGAAAGAAAATGTAGCTGCTAACCTTATATTTTGTTTCTATATTCATATTGATTTTTTTTAATACAACCAATCAAAATGTTAGCAAGATAAATTTAAAACATGCTACAATATATAGTAGAAATTAGTTATGGTTTATCTCAAAAAATACCGTCTCCGCTTTGGAACGCAAGTATCAAAATAACCTGCCAACTAACCAACCTACAGTAATGTAGGAAAGAACTTCAGCTTCAAAGAGTTTCCTCCTCTTGTAAATACAGCCTTTATGTGCTATCATCGCCCACTCCTCATGATATGGAAATGCTCTGAGTCATTATTCAGCTCGATCTTTAGCACACTATCTGCTATTCCACCGGAAGGCTCCGACCAGAGATGCCGTGTTGCCACCGTGTTCAAAGCCTATTTATCTGCCATCTGGTTGCTCTCTATTACCAGTAGTCAAGTAGAAATTCCTAGCTCATCTTCAGAGAGGTAAGAGCCTGGACAGCCACTCGACTGCCGCTGCAAATATAGATGTGCTTGTCGGAGTACCCTGTGTTGAGGTTCTCGTGAGCACACACCAATTTCGCTTTGGAATATACTGGGATAAGATCCATATATACCAGTTCCTGTTCCAGTGTCTATTTTGGACCTATCCGTAGGAATATCAGATTAGCCTATGACGCACAAGAATATTTTCTCCTGCACAGAGGGGATGCTCGGTCTATATTGTGTATGAAAGCTTAAGGTAGCGTCAATGCTGCCCCCCTTCATACAGAGGGCATCTGCGACAGATGGTATTTTCCTATGGTCCAATGATACTAAATACATACAAATTATCAATTATTACCTAAATAACTAATTTTTCAAAATCTAATTTTGATTTATTCTCATTAAGATTACAATTACAACAATTACAAATTACAATGATACTATTACTTTACTTATTATGTAGCATACAAACGTAATAATCTAAAATTTTTAAAATGTGGTGTGCTGTATTTTTCCAGCTCTGAATAGGTTAGACCTAAATTAAGAAAAACACTTTGTGATCTCACATTTGATTTTGTGCCACAAACGTTTTCTGGAGTTGAATGTTCTTCTAATCTTCATCTTCGACACGTGGTAGACATCAACCTGACTCGCCCCTGTCTTGTCCCTTTCCTATGAACAAATTATTGGTTGTTGGGTTAACCCAGTAACCAGGGGAACGAGGGCAGCGTCAAAATTTTTCCGGCCTGAATATGAAAGACACAAAGTAGAGTAACAATTTTTTATTATTTTTCAATATGATCCCCTTTGACTTCAATACACTTATTACATCTCTTTATTAACATCTCAATCACTTTAAAAAAATAACCTTTTGGTTTGTCTGCAAAATGAGCTAAAACAGCTTCCTTTAATTCAACTTCGTCGTTAAACCGCCGTCCATGTAAGTCCTTTTTCAAATATCCAAACAAATAGTAGTCGCTGGGGACCATATCTGGACTATAGGGGTGATATTCTATCTGTTGGAACCCACACTCTAAAATGGCAGCTTGTGCAACACCAGCAGTATGGACCGCTGCATTATCGTGCAAAAGACGCACGGCTCTGGTCAGTTTTTGTCGACGTTTTACAAGTATGCAGTCTCGCAATTTATGTAATAATGTTGCGTAATATTTACCATTGGCAGTGGCATTAGTTTTCTTTAAAATCTATCAAAAGAATTCTTTCACAATCCCATAAGATCGTGGCCATCATCTTTTTTGTTGATTGGCAGACTCTTAATTTTCTTGGAGGTGCTTCACCCTTACGACGCCACTTAATTGACTCTTTTTTCGATAGAGAGTCATAATAGAGAAGCATAGTTTCATCTCCCGTCACAATAGTTTCTAATCACAGGCTTCGGTTCCGACCCACAGAGTTCCAAAAAAGACCGCGCACACTTGAGACGGCGTTGTTTTTGAATAGCCGAACGGTTTTAGGAACCCATCTTGCACTAACCTTATGCATACCTAAACGATCATACAGGATTCGACGAACACTTGTATCAGAAAGCATAATAATTTCTGAGATTTTCTTGTCCTTTAAACGTTGATCACTCAATACCACCTCTTCCACAATCGCAACAATATCTTCCGTTATGACCTCCACTGGTAGACCAGTTCTTGAATCATCTTCAAGGGACTCCTGCCCCATTCGAAAACGTTTTGCTCATTCTTTCACTACAGAATACGAAGGAGAACTTTGGCCGTACACACCATCCAGCCTTTCTTTAATAATTTTAGGTGCTAATCCTTCTTTTGTCAAAAACTTTGTGACTGCTCTATACACGTGTTGTTTAAAATGCTGTCAATAAAAAATTATTTGACGCAAGACTTCAAGTTTCTTTTCGCAGCCTACTAAGATATATATTTAAAAGAAGACAAAGTTTTATCGTGATACTGGAGCTGTATATATGTCAGGCCGGGAAATTTTGGCGGCAACCTCGTAGCATGGTCGTAATTGCTTTTTGAATAAGTTCCATGAAAAGCCTAGACACACCACATTTCATTCTCTAGGCTTTCACGTTTTGTTCCAAGTGTCCATTGATTGTCCTTTGTCGCCTTCCAAAGCGCATACCGAATAGAGTAAAGACAAAGGCAGCAGTAAAAAAATCCATTAAAAAAAAGATTCTCTGCAATGAAAAGCGTATAACTCCAAACGATCGTAATGTATTATCTACCAGATCGGAGTCGGACAACCGATGCTGTTAAATCGCGATCTCATTAGTAAGGATCCGATGTTTTAAATGGGTTCAATTAACGAAACGCGGCGTAGTGATTCAAACCGAATCAAAAGGCGGACGCTATTCAGGGCGGCGTCGACTGAAAACGACAAAAACCCGCGAATCGCTTTGAAAGCCTAGGGCTGAACTTTACGTTCTAATTACGTTAATAGGACGGTGACGTTTGTCCGAAAAGATAAATCAAGATTGAATGGAAATGTTTGCTATAAGTTATCTGTCTACT